TGAATTTTACTTATACATTTTCTTCATGCCGGTTATTTCACAATAGCTTCATTTTTATGGCCGTTTGTTCCTCTTCAATCTTAAATGAAGAAGACTGTATACTATAAACACAAGCACATACTAAGAAGGTCTAACTCCTTGTGTGTTTCCCTTTGCACAGCTACAATGCAATCAAGAGTTATAAGCAGGAATCTAATCAGTCTGAACTCACTGCTTCTCAGCACCTGGTTTCAGCTGCCCAGGCAGGTGAGTGAAATTTCACTCATTACATGCAAGAACATAGGATCTAAACTAAAAGTGAAAACAAGTACTTGTGGTAATACATAATTAGATGCATTTTGCAATGTGTATAGGTCATAATTGTAACTGTGCGACATTTTAACAGAAATTCCCAGGCATTTTTGGAGAGTGTAATGAAATTGTGAAATAAAGAACCCCATCAAACAAGCTGACATCTGACTTATTGTACAGTTAAAGGTAGTTTTTCTGACTTTTTTTTTTGGTACATCTTCTCAATCACTGATATAATTTATCGAAGTAGCTCATCTGTGTGGAAAATGCTGTGCAGTTTCATTTATGAAGTGGCAAAAATGAAGCCTAACTGAATGTAATCGTTTTGAGGTTTGCTGTGTTTATTCTTGCAGAATTTGATTTTTTTTTTCAGAGGAGTATGAGAAAAGATTGGTTTTGATGAATCGAAATTGGAGTACTTCTGCTATGTATTTGTTATGGTCTCTAAGGTATCCCTAAATTGTTGACTTTGTTTCCAGGGGCTCTGACACTTTGTATAACCAACCCCATCTGGGTGACAAAGACTCGCCTAGTTCTGCAGTACGATGCTGGCATTGACCCGTCCAAAAGACAGTACAAGGGCATGTTTGATGCTCTGCTGAAGATTTACCGCTATGAGGGCATACCAGGGCTATACAGGGTAATACGAACTTTCCTTTTTTAAATATTGCATGGGTGCATTTTATTCAAAGGCCAAAGGGGTTATGTCTACCCACAGAGCATATACTGTATATGTTCAGGTGGGTAGCTGCGTCAGCATGCGTAGGCTGCAAAGGAACAAGTAATAGGTTTATTCCATGCTGAATAAAAGAAGAAAGAGAACACAACGTTTCGGCCGTGGAGCCTTCTTCAGGTGTGTTCTCTTTCTTCTTTTTTTTAGCATGGAATAAACCTATTACTTGTTCCATATACTGTATATGCTTTTTAAATCTCTTGCTGCTGTTTCAAACAAATCCACTAGAGGTAGTGCTCTTCAAAGTGGACCAGCTATTTATGAGAAGGAGAAAAAAAAGTTTTTTTGTTTTTTCGCCCCCGTTGGCGGAAATTTTTTTTTTTTACCAGAATATTCCATGTTTCTAAAGGAAGCTGGTGAAATTTCTTTTCAACCCCTCCTGATTCTAAATTAAACTATTACTTCTCCCAAAACAGTATTTCAAGAGTGCTTTTATGAAATATTTATGAATACATAGCTTCCTGTGTTGTCATTATTTTACTTTCAAGGTTTATTTTACTCACATTTAAAATCAAATGAGCAGCCACTGCATATTCACGGGATAACTATTTAACAGGTCGTATTCATTGCCCTCTGGGTTTATGGAGTTTTTATTATTAACCATAATTCTTTAAAAGATACTAGTTGTGATTCTTGTTCCACGAACACATACTGTAGTTTCCAGGTGTTGCGTATTTCAGTTTTAATTAGTGTATTTCGTTTTTTCAGCCAAGCACTGTGAAGGTAATGCTATTGACTGCTCTCTTAAAACGCATGTGTGTCCAATAGGGTTTTGTGCCTGGCTTGTTTGGCACATCACACGGCGCTCTGCAGTTCATGGCATACGAGGAGCTCAAACGGGAGTACAGCAAATACAAGAACATGCCAGCGCAAGCTCAGTTGGTAAGAAATTGAAACTTCTATTCTAAGCAAAGTTCCAAGTTACGGTTGACTGTGTACATCTTGACATTAGTCAAGGCACAACTTCAAAGCCACTTCCTGCTTTAAAATATGGCGTGTCTGAAAGAAGCTGCTGATAGGCCAAAGCTGTTTGCATTTATGGAAATTATTGAAGGGTTGACATGTTGCTGAAATGTACTATAGCTTCAGTGTTTGGAGGTAGTGGCAACTGCTTCTGTTATCAGCAGGTCTGAAAAGAAATGAGTCGCACAAGAAGTCTTTTTACATTTCACCGCAGAATCCGCTGGAGTATGTGACCATGGCAGCTATGTCCAAAATATTTGCCGTGTCTGTGACTTATCCTTATCAAGTGATCCGCGCCCGGTTACAGGACCAGCATAATAAATACGCTGGACTCACAGATGTCATCAGGCGGACCTGGAGGTACGTCTGTGTTCGCCCGTACAGTGGAATAGTGTAGCCCAGGTAGAGATTCATACATATTTGTTATTTGGATAGCAAGCAGAACCTAAAATTGTTTCCCATAGTTTGGTCTCGCATACCATTGAGTTGTGTAATCACCAAGTACACAGCAGGGTTATTTCACACAGTCATCTTAAGGTTTGTGGTTAAGATTCCTTGGAAGATTGTCTTCTGCTTTGTTTGTGGCAAGATATTGAGCTGCTCTTTGTAAATGGTTCTGTGTTGGTCTTTGAGGTTTCTAGTAAAATACATATTCTATATATTTTACATTTTTGTTCTTCACTAAATGGTAAAGGTATTGGACTGAAACTGCCCATCTCTGCATTGGCCACGTCTAGTGTTTGGAGTCTAGTAATGTTCATAATAAGTAAGCTTATTATTTCAGTGGATCTAAAACTATTTTAAATATAGGTCTATTCTGTTTTTTTCTGAATAACGATAATCAATGCAGCATCCATTTTCTCATGCAACTGTTGATTGGGGTATAAAAAGCACATATTGTGAAAAATGTATGGGCACAGTGATTTTCTTCATGATACCTGGGCACAGTGATTTTCTTCATGATATCTAGGCAAGTAAATTAAGTTTAAAATAACAGTTTCAATCATAAGAATTACTAGGAAAAAAACAGTTTTTGCATCTGAGATGCAATAAGCGCAATAATGTAGTTATCTTTTTCAAAGCTATTCTGAAATGTATGTAGCAAAATTTTTAGTATTGTAAAATTACTAATGTTTTTTTTCCAAATGTATATTGTAAATAGTATCTAATGGTGTCGGAAAAGTCTCTGATTGGTGCTGTTGTTTAGAATTCCAATCCTGATTATATTTTCCTGCAATTTCCCTCTTGGGATCAATAAAGTATCTATCTATAATCAACTTTGTATACTGTAAATGAAATAAGAATAGAGGCTTATGGCTGGAACATAGACACTGTATTGCAAGTTTGTTTCTCTCTTTTTAGCAATGAAGGTGTCCGTGGATTTTACAAAGGAATCGTACCCAACGTGATCAGGGTGACCCCTGCGTGCTGTATAACTTTCGTAGTCTATGAAAATGTGTCCAGTTTTTTGCGTGGCCTGCGCGGCTGAAAATAAAACCGAGGATGTCAGTCCGGGCGATGAGGTAATGGCATCCCAATGGAGATCGTCGCTGAAGAGCAGTACCAGCTCTTAGAGAGACAGTTACTGTGTGTTACCATGAGCGGTACTTTACCTACCTGAGAAGCAGCCTTGACCAGCCCTGGCTGTGCTTCTTCAAGGGGCGTGACGCAGCTGCAGTTTGCACAACCTGGAAGCTGTAATGTCGAATTATATGGGCGTAGATATTTTAATATGACCAGCACACAGCTAGCTGTACGTAACTCTGAATGTCTCCTAAATGATGTACATGTAAGTTTTGTGTGCATAGGTGTAAGCCAAAGATTTTTATTTTTTGAATTCATCGAGAAATTAGGTGAACTGTAAGTTGGACTGGTTTCACAGTCCCAGTACCTAACTGAAAGCTGCGACGTATCTGTATTTAAAATATTTATGCACTTAAAGTGTTTGAGATTGGGGGGGGGGTGGTAACCATAAAACTTTAGGGTGTCGTACAGATGCTGTGCTGCAAATGTCAAAATACATCAGTAAAATAACATGCAAACAGTTTTTTTTTTACTAAATGCAACTGTATTCCATTTTAAAAGAAACATTGAATGTATATTCTACATTTGACATTTTGGCTTAATCTTCATTTAGAAGTGGAATTGATTTTTTTTTTATTTAATTGAAGTTTAATATTTTGCCTGTTTGTAAATATTTAATGAATTTCGAGTGACGTGTAAAAGAAAGTTCAGTAAAATCAAACGATCTTCCATCGCTTTAAGTACCTTAGCTGGGATGAAATTCAAAGCTGTAGCCTGGTCTGTCAAACAATCTGCAATGCGTCCAATTAACTTGCAGTCATATTGAAATATTTTAGCTCCTGGTAATCGTGGAAGTATCTAATGTAACTATGTCCTGTTACATTTTTTATTTTCAATGACAACTTTCAAACTGCTCAAATCAACAATTTTTTTTTTATAAAAAGTTTCATTTATTGACATGAGTAAAAATGAAATTCTGACAACGGTTACTAAAGAATGCTAAAATAAACTACTACAGAATCCTACAAATGTGTAGAATTGTAATTTGGACATTAACGTGATACAAACAACAAAAAAAAAGGTTCCTGATAAATTCTTTTGTTGGATACTCTTGAGTTTCATATAGCATGGGTACGGATTAAAAAAAAAAAAAACTAATTGAAGGAAAATCCACCGTGTAATTCGGGGAAAAAAACGGGCTGAAGTCGGATTGGTGGCGCTTTTCACTTCGGCAGCTCCTCAATGATGACTCTGGACACGGAATTCCAGCCTGTGGACGCGTCGCCCCTGGGATAATCCACACAGGTCCCCACCCAGACGGCAACGTCCACCAGACCAGCATGAATGCCTTCACACAGTCCCTCCACTGCAGACAACACACAGCACAAACCAGAGACTCCGCATAATAATGCTTGCTTCTAAATTACATGGAGTGTACACTTGAAGGGATAATTTGAAGTAAATGTTGGTGTGTATTCTAATTGACCCTAACTGAGCAGCAGACGACAAAGACTGGTTCTCAGTAGTTACTGTCTCACAGTGGGGATGTGGGCACAGAATGGGTGTAGATGCTGCACCTTTAGTATTGGGTGAAATGGGCCCCTCCCCTCTGTGTAAAGTGCTTTGGGGTTCTGAAAAGCTCTACCACTGCAGTAATTTGTTAATCGCAACTAATTTGGTCCATAGTGTGGCTAAAGCTTGAGCATTGCTAAATTAATATGCCTTGAAAACGGCTACAGGTTTTAAAGGGTTGCTGTTTGCCAGAGGCTGTGTCACTATCATGGGAATCTTGGGTGGCTCTCCGATCAAAGCCTCCCAAAGTGCAGGGTAACCATTATTGTCAGGAGGTTAGCAGTACTGTCATGAATGAAGCTATCCCCACTGTTATGCCATTCTTAATCTGTAGCCAAGTGCTCCTAGAAACAGACCGATTGGATAAGAGCTAATGAGGAAGTTACTTGGTTTATAGCAAGCTACAGTAGTGCTGTCTTGCTGACCCAGTGTCTGAGGAACTGAATGTTATCAGAAATAGCCTTAAGCTGTCTCAAAGCTGTCTGTTTCTCTGCATTCCACGAATGAAAGGATATTAGATTTTGGAAGGAAGATTTAAGGCTTAGTGATTATTTTTGTTTTGTGAAAGATGCTCTAGGCCACTCTGCAAAATCATATCTGGGTTTCAAAATAATTGGACATTCCATTTTGGGGGAAAAAAAAACATGGTTCTTAACATTTTAATAAATTGTCACATTTGTCCTGCATTGTAGTGATCCATTAGCTAACATTTCAAAATGCTTAGGAAATACAGTAGTTAAGAAGTACCTACTGTAACTGTTGCAGCAGAAAGGAGAACATTTTATATACTTAATTGTAGCCTGTCTTGGAAATATACCCTAGAACTGCTCTCCTCTGAGCCAACAGCCTGCAGTGTTTCTCAGACTGAGCTCCGATAACTGGGATGCACTGCCATTCCGACATCACCCACTAGAAACTGGGTCCATCCTCACACCCTGCGATTGGATGATAACAGCCCATCTTGACTCACACCCTGACTGGGTGGGAAAACCCCACCAGTAAGGGATGTACTACATGGACTTGCCACGACACCTGATGACGTTCTGACCAATCATGACCTGAGACCATGAGACAGAAAGCTGTCACACCGCATTCTGTCTCCTTACTGACCAAGGTCCTGGCAAATTGACAAACTAATAGTGTGACTCCAACTCTAAATGGCTAAGGCCAAATAACTGAAAGAAACTGGCTGGCTTAGACTGAGATCGCACATGAAAATTATTTCTTCCAAAACCTTCCTTAAAAATGAAGAGTTCTATAACAATCCCAGCTGTGACCAAAATATTAAGTGGGGCACTTGTTGACAGAGCTGAATATCAGTGCATATTCAGCAAAGTAACTACAGAACATGGGAAAGGAGACCAGCAAGGAATTCCTGGTTTCTCTCCAACTAAATCTTAAATTGGGCTGGATTCATGAGTCATGAGATTTTGTGCATCCTACATTGGAGGACCTGACTTCAGCAAACCACTAAGCAATGGAGAAACAGGACAGTCATTTGACATACCACCCAGTGGGCATCTATAAGACAGGCTTCGACTTGGGCTAGCTTTATCTCTTTCGCTTTTCATCACAATTTAGTTGAGAGCATAAAATAGTTATTACTTGACATACTACAGAGATTGTTGATTTCTGGTATGTGCTTCTGTTTTATTCCCTTTTCGTTTGAATTTTCTTAACGTTTTATACTAGAAATGCTCAACATTCTTTGCATGGCCAGACACTGCTGCATCAGTGTCTGTGGTCAGTGGGTTTGCTAGACTGTAACATTAAAACTGGCCATTGGAAGTTTGGAAAAGTACTATGTAAGAGCATTCCAAGCATTCACAAACCTAAACTATGTGTCATTTCAAATACAATGTAGCAAAGCAACTAACGGTTATGGAGCCATATTTTCTGTAACCACCATGCTCTCAAGCAAGGGCATCAGAGTTTGCAAAGACACAAAGCCTACTGCAGGTTCTCACTCACCACTACAAGGAATGAAAGGAAAATAATCTTTTCCTGCAAGAGGTGACGTGGAAAATGTATGTGAAAGCCAATCGAAAATGTAATGTTGGGTTAGAATTTTTCATTTTGTGTTAGAACAGTCAGTGAAAAAGACATCTTCCCTCATGCAATAATATGAGTAATTGATATGACTGATGATGATATTTCCATCATTCTTTTTTGATATTTGTCTGAGCACTCTGTCCAAAACAGGTCATTGGGGAGCTGAAGCCTATCCCAGCAAGAAGCTGGCACATGATTGGCCCCAGCGCTGCAAGTCAGCAGTGCTAGCCATTGCGCCACCTGCTATGACACTTCAGAAATGTATCTACATTTCACTGAGTGACAGAAGAGTTTTCTGTTCTTAGCTCAGTTCTGCAGAATACTTGCCATTCTTCTCTGTAAGCACTTACCTGAGGAGGTTCTGTGTATATTAATAGTAGAGTTAAACTCAGGGCTGCCTTGGTCTAGATAGATGATGGCCTCAATTGGCAGAGGGCCTGTGCATTCAGCCCCATTAAAAGTGAAGTACCATCGCTGGCAGCAGGCATTCTTACACTTGAGTCTCAGGGAGCCGCTGAAGACAACTCTGAGGGCGCTGTCAGAGCGCATTTTTGTGAAAGTGCACTCCTAGAATTAGAAACATAAAGCAGGATGTACAATTTTAAAAATAACATTTTGAGCATCTCATAATATAATATATAATAAATTATTTAATAATAATATTTCAAAATGAAGCTTTATTTCATGGGCTAGGCTTAAATCCACAGTGTGTACATTATAGGCTGAACCTATGCTCTGACTCGGTACCTTTACCAATTACTTACACCCAGATTTCACCCTATAAGTTATATAGGTGCTATAATCAACTTAAAGCCATAAAATGTAAAGAATTCTATAAACTATTAGGAAAAGTTGTCTCCTGGGATATTCTTTTTTTTTCCCTCTAAAAAGTTACTGTGGGACATGGAGACAAGTGTACACCGTTAATAATTTTAAAATGAACAGCCTTTTAATATCACATATTCAAATCTTTTTTTTCCCATTTTAACTAGACTTTTTTCCCCCCCTCAGGACTGGGTCTCGCCCAGCCTGTCGTTCCAGCTTCTGTCGGCGTCCTTACTGCAATTTTTCCCAGGTCGATGCCATAGTTGAGGGACTTCCAGGCGCACTGCTTGAAATTGGGTTTCCAGGGCTCCTCCAGAATCTCTCTCATGCACTCTCCCTTCTCCCCTTTCAGCCCATCTCGGCCGGGTATGCCAGGTATACCATTCATACCGGGGTTTCCGTCTCTGCCTGGGGTGCCTGCAGGCCCCTGCATGCAGCCATTGTACTAGCAATGGGAAAACAACAAGAAAGGCTTTTTATGACCTGTTGCCAGAAATGCTGCCTGCAGTCACAAGCGCTCCCACTGAGTGCAGTGAGGTCAGTGAGTTCCTGTCTCTTTATCCTCTGGATGGAGAAACGTCTGCTCACCCAGCAGGAGCTAACACAGATGGACCATCGCATCACTGCTTTGTGCCAAACCCCCTCGGAGTAGTAGAGCAGTAACAGCTACGTAGTGAGTCGCTGTCAGATGTGATCCTCTGTCCTCATGAACCCTCGTGGAGTTCATTTCCGCTTGAGGTTTTCCCCAGACAGACTTACACCTCCCACTAATATCCTCTCACCCAGAGACCTTGAAATATCTTCATCATACATTCTCAAAGGAGGGCAAATCAAATGTTGTAATTGTTCACAAACAGAACAGAACAAGATACCTACATACAGTAAATTCTTTGTGACAAATAGATGTTTTACACTGTTGACCAATCCAGCAAATGAAATCTATTCTGATTCTTAAAATTAAATACAAGTAGGCTTTTGAGACGACATGGATTCAAGTTAGATAAGCATAATATGACCCAAACAATGCACTAGGAACCAGTTTATCAAGTTCTACTTCTCTTTATAGTAATAAATGAAACTGCAATTGTGGAATTTAATAATTATTTTTGCATTAAGCACAAATTAAGTGATTATAATCAAATAAACATTAAAAAAAAGATTATTTCAGCTCACAAAGACACGGAGGTATACAATTCTGTTTTGGAACAGAACATTATTCAGTGTCCTCCACGTCTCACAGAAAGCTGTTCAGGCTTTCGTTTATGAGTGTATTCAGAATATTTGTTATATCATTCTCATTTAAAAAGGTGATCAAAATTGTTTAAAAAATACATGGAATTTGTGTAATGTAATTAAAATTAGTTTATATATTCTGAGAAAACAATGCTATTTTAGTAAATCCTCATACCAAGAAACACATGCTGACCTAGTTTCTTCTGGGTGGTAGTTAAAGGATAAAGGAAGAAAAAATAAAACTACAGAAAATAAGGTAACAGATCGAATAATACACTTTACCTTGTGCTCACCATATCATGCATTTCAATTTCACTTTAATGGATAAGAAATATATGAAGCATTGGATTTGCTGTTTTTTTTAAACAGGAAAGTTAAAATACAACCCTGTGATTCAGAGCTGTATTTTATATTTGCTCCCTTGATTGCTTACTGAGATGCTGTGATTACACATATAACAACATCAAACTCTTTGTTTCAGAATCTCAATAAAACCTTTAGGAGATGTTTTCTGAAAGCCCAAGATGATGTATATTCTATTAGAGAAAAAACAAAGTTAAAATGAGTTTAAAGATCAAAAATACAGTCTAACAGCACTGGTTCAAAATTTGAAAATAATGTTCAGATTGATAGAAGTTAGTCTACATCTTGGTAGTTATGCACGTCTGGGGCTTGTGAGCATTAGAAGTAATAACTCAGAAGGTATAAAACTATTTCAACATATCACAATGCCACCATGCCATTTAGCTTAGATTACATAAAAAATCTCTTAATACTTCATTCATATTCTATTATGTGTGTTTTTACTAATTTATACTTAATTTAGAATTTATATTTTTTGCTTAGATTATTTGAATGCTATCAAGCTGTAGCAGCAGAAATATCTAATGGAAAGGTTTTTCGAGGCCAACAATGATGTAGAGGTTTGTCAGCTTGAGTAAACAGTGTTTCAACAGGCTTCAGAGCGCTGTGCAACGTACAGTATGCTGTATTTGTGTCCCCAACCCATTCTGAAAATGGCATCAAATTTCTTGGCTGTTGTTAGATATGTTGGGTATCAGGATGCTTTTCTCCACTATTTATGGTGTGAAAAGTATCATACAAGTGACATAATAAACAACTTCACTTTAGCCCCTGAAAGCATTGGTGTACTTAAATCTAGTAGATTATTTATTGAGAACAGTTTCACAAGATTGATTTAATCAATTCGATTTTGTTTTATTGCTGATTATCAGTTGCTTTTAAAAAATGTCTTCCATTATGGGTGTATCAGAACTTCTGACAGGTCAAAGAAATGTTTCTTTACAAGGAATAGCAGCCGTGACAGGCTTAAATGAAATTTCGTACTAGTTGCAGCGAAAACTGAAAAGCCTATTTGAAAGGTAGGAGCTACATCTGTGTGGCTGCCATCTGAGGTCAGTCTCTGGTTTAAAAAAATGAATCTGAAAATAGGAAAGGTCTACACAACAAAGAAGCAATTCAGAAAACTATGCATGTCTATCCTTGCAAAAAAAATGAGGAGTTGGCAACTAAATCAAATTAACGGCAATTATAGAATTGCTGCAATAACTGTAAGTTTGAAAGTGTCTAGACAAAAACATTTACCAACAGAATGTAAGGCAATGCTTTTGCTTTTGCACAGACATGGATCTGTGCCATCTAAAACAGCACTGTTCCCTGTGGATCTGTATTAATTTATGTTGATTTATATAAAGGGCTCTGACAAAACACCGCTTGTTTAATCCAGCGCATTGAAAGGCTGTAGCGATGGCGGCTCTGTACATCTGAACTTGTGGAGATCTGAGGGCACATCCTCTTACTTTACACTGGCCATGCTCAGATAATTGGAGTGGAACTGGGCTATAGCTTCTGCAAGTTGGAAAGCAGGATGCTTGTGATGATTGGGAAACAAGTGCTGATTGAAATTAATCTACAAAAAGAAATGACAGAATCTAACAGGGATTGAAGGTCTAAAAACTAAATAAACTGAAAAAAAGGCATTCATGTTTATCTGTTGAAAATTGAGCTCTTGTACTGTATGTCTCACATATCTATAAGAGAGACAGATCTGACATACCAATCTCACACAGAAGTCCTGGCATTTTCACAAAGGCCATTCAGACTCTAAGATGCTCAACACATTCATACCAAAGAAAGTAGAAATCACACAGGGATAGAAACTCATTCCCCTGCATTTCTCAGAATAAACATTGTATGTGTTTTCAGAGAAGTGCTGGTATGCCCAATGATTAAATACTGTATATACTGCAGCTCACAGTTCCATGAAAGGGATTGTGCAATACTTTCAAGTATTATCAGGTTTCTTACAGGATATAGCATGCTGAAGTTTACTGAAGCAATAGATGTTGTGTGGAAATCACACAGAGGCAGTGTGTTCTTAGATCAGGTGCTTTTTTGTCCAGTGTGAACTAATATGGAAACGGTGGATTTTGTGCCAGTATGGAAAAAAAAATGAACACCTCACATGGTCCTGTAGGAGCCTATTCAGCAACATAGCACTCCTTTAAACGGTGGGGATATAGTTCATTTGACTAAGCTTTTTTTGTCCAGAGCAACATATCTTTTGTATTTCTACAGCTGGACGTTTAACTGGAGCAGACTGAGCAAAGCACTCAGGGGGACAATAGCATTATCCCACTCGAGACCTGGACCCACAACCTTTCAGCTCTGACCACTACTCCTCACCCC